AGAGTTACAGTCCTGGGACCCACAGGGGCAGTGTTCCCCTGTCCTGTAGGGTCGCTATGAACGGGCTTGATGGCAGGCTGTTTGCTTTTTCTGCTTGGACTAGAGGTGCCTGTGGCTGGGGGAGGTCTAGGGCTTCTGACCAGCTTTGGGTCAAAGGCAAATGTCAACTCCAACTCTAGCCTGAGACAGGTCATCACCAGACTTAAGACATGGAAAACCCAGGACCCCAGTTCCAGCACTTTGGGGGTAAACTGGAGGCCTGGTGGCGTAGTAGGGAGGCCTGAGCTGCTAACCATGAGACCTGAGGCCCATGGTTCCAATCCACCAGTCACCCTGCAGAAGAAAGATGAGGCTGTACACGTTGAGTCTGGGAAACCCACAGGGGCGGCTCCGGCTGAGTTGAAACTGACTCAGTGGGAGAGTTTGGATTTTGGTATCTGCAGGGAGGCCACTGGGGTCCAGCGTGTCCTCAGGAAGACGCAAAGCTGCTGCCTCAGGCTTCTCCTGACTACTGTGGCCCTCAGATGCCCCATTACTTGGACGAGGGGCCACATTCCTCTGACCGTGGAGGGAAATGTGGCGTTAGCTCTGGGCAACCATTAGGCCCGATTATGCCCATCCCTGGAGCCCTGGTGGCAATGCCGGGGTAAGCACTGGGCTGCCAACCATAAAGTTGGCAGTTCAAACCCACCAGCTGCTTCAAGGGAGGTAGATGGGGCTGTCTGCCATCCATCACAGCCTCGGAAACCCTCCATCGGGCTGCCAAATCAGAACTGACCAGGTGGCAGTGGGCTGGGTAGGTTATAAGGCCTGTCGTTTACCAGGTTTATATTCTAAAGCAAGAAGCCCTGGTGCCACTGTGGCTACCTGCTCACCTGCTGGGAGGGCAGTAGTTGAACCCAGCATCTGCTGCACAGCAGGGAGATGTAGAGGCGGTAGTGGCAGCCTGCCTGCTGTAAGAACAGCGGCCTCAGAAAGCCCATGGCTTCTGATTCTGCTCTAGGACGGCTACGAATCAGAAGAACCAATCTCATGGTAATGGGTGTGTTTGAGTGGGTGGGGGCTTTGGGACATTATGTGGACTTTTGAGGGGTCCAAATGAACAGACACAGGATAAAACAGTGCGGAAAAGCCCATCTCCAAATCAAGTTGCTTTATTTAAAATGAGAAACAAGTTTCACCCAAGTCAAAGTTAAAAACACCAAACAGCTGGCGGTCACAGGGCTCGGAGCCTGCTCGGAGCGTTCTGCTGCAACTGTAGGAGTCTAGTGTGGCAGAGGACAGCCTGGCTCTGTTGTCACCCTGTCACCTACAGGCAGCAGGTCGGGGCTTCTCCAGTGGACAGGAGGCGGCACAAGGTTCTGAATCAACCATGAGACAAAGCTGGAGCCACCAGCTTGGGCCACAGTGTATCTGGCTCTGCTGTGTGCATGTGGCATCAACGGGCATCTCCCCACGGCAGTGCTTGGGACACACTCACTGAGTCCGAGCCTCACTGAGTGCTGTGCCCATGAAACCCTAGGACACTGTCCTGTAGCATCCCTTAGATTCAGAATGGACTTAAGTGTCCACGGGTGCTGGGGGTCCTCGGAAAGATGTCCCAGAACCACTAGACCACCCAGGGGCACCTGTGGCAGGACAAACACTCCAGACTGGTGATCTCTTAAGGCTCCCAGGTGACCTGGCTGTCCCCGTCCCCTCTGCCCCGCCCCATCCCCGCAGCAGCGCCCCTTCCCTCCACACACTGCACTTTGGTGTTCCCAGGCACTGCTGTCCCCAAGGGTCAGCCCTGCAGAAACTTCCACATGTCATCCTGGGCCACGCTGCTGTGGACACCTCGGACCAGGGCTTTTGTGGATCCGACCCTCTGCCCTATCTGGGCTCTGACCACTAGCTCACTGCTCTCCCATTCGGCTTCGCCTCTTCCCTACTTTGCCTCTCAGCTTTGTGGGACAACAGGGGTGGGTGGGTGGGGGGGTGGACAAGCAATGGGGAGGCGGTGAACCTCTAGCCTGGGCCAGAACAAATGAATGCACCCCACAGTTCTTTTAACAGGGAGGGGGGCAGCCAAACAGCAGCATGTGATCTATGGTATGCAAGTGCTTGGACCATCAGATGGTGGGTGGGGCCCACAGGAACCACCTTTAGCATCCAGAGCTGGAAACTGGGCAGCTCTCTCAAATTCCAATCCCCTGGCCAGCACCCTACTGCTGGAAAACTGGAGCCACCATGCCCCCTGCTGGCAAAGACTTTTGTCTGTGGAAATGGAAGCAGGGAGGGGTGTGGTTGGCATGAAATGGAGAAACTAATGTAAAATTGGAAAAAAAAGAAATGAAAAACAAAACAAACTTTTTGACCATGACACGAAAACCGTTAAACCTCAGGAGGCACGCAATCAGCTGCCGGCCCAGGCGACCCTCTCAGAGGCCCCACGAGGGAGGCAGGCATCGTCGACATGGTGTATGTGGAACAGGGAAGCTGCGTGGACCCCACAGCGTCTGCATGTGCAGCACGTGCAGCTTGAGGAGTGTCAAACAGTGAGGACTAGGTGGGGCACAGTCAGCCACAAGAGGGAGACGCAGGGAGAGGGGAGAGGGTGTGCACTGACTCGGAGAGTGGCAGAGGTTCTCTGAGCAACCAGCCACACATCTGGGGGCCCTTCAGGAGGAAGAGGCTATACTTAGGCCAATGGTGGCTCGGGTGAAGGGGAACCCAGATTGGCCTGGCTGGCCCCATCCTCTGGACTATTTCACGAAGCGGCACACAGGCTACTCCACTACGTCCAACGGAGCCCTCCCCTCTGCTGCTCCAGACACGGCAGGGCGAGCTTCACCTCCAATCTGACCACCTTACACCCAACCCAGCTGGGACTCCTCCCACCTTTATTTAAATGAAGTTGAATTCAGGGATAGATTAAGGCAAGCAGGTGAATCCAGAGGACAAAGAGATGGACCTAAATCAGTCCTCCAAATGCTCATGGCAAGGTTCTTCACAGACCCCGAGGCTAGGACCCCCTGAGCTCACTCGGCACAGCCACTCACGGTAACCAGGGGAGCTGGGTGGCTGGATGGCAGAGTGGGGCCAAAGTGGTCCGGTGCAGTTCTGCCCACAACTTATGTTCTGCTGCACTTAAAACAAAACTCCCCAGGTGTTCTCACCCACCCACCCACCCACACGCCCACTGAGAGAACCACACACAAACATGAACCGCATCATGGGAAAACGCCCGAGATGTAGCAGCTTCTCTGGAGCGGTGGGAGACGGTGAACAGTACCGAGCAGCTGACGTTGGACGCGCCTCCAGGTGAGCTGAGCGCGACAGGACACGTGGCACAGCTCACGCGAGGCAGGGTCACCACCCAGGACATCTCTGTGGCTGCGGATGCTCCTCACCAACAAGATGCTCCCGGGAGCTGGCCTGGACACTCCTTCCCCACCGCAGTACCGTGTGCGGTTGGGCCGAGTCAGCCTCAGGGCTCCTCCGTGCTGGTGAGCTAGTCTTAGTGCGGAAGGGACAGCACTTGACAGGAGAAGGGCCGGGCCAGAGAAGAGTTATCCCGGTTCAGAGGAGACAGAGAAGGAAGGAGCAGAAGAGGTGAAAACCCAGGTGGGTGGCCACCACCGGCACTCACAGGAGCCCCCTCGGGGAGCCTCTCTATTGGCTCAGGGGTGGGCCCGGCTTCCGCAAGTGTCCCTAATCCTGCCAAGGAAATACAAGCACCGTCATCAGTGCGTCACCAGAGCTGGAAGAAAACAGGTAAGAGCAGCCCCTCCCCCACCCATCCCAGGCCAACGTCAACAGCAGGGTTTCCTCCCAGGGTGCCCTTAGAGGGCAGCAGAGGCTCCTAGACACTCGGAGGCAAAGCCAGGGGGCAGCTCAAAGCAGAGAGAGGCCAGGAGAAATGGGAGGATGGCAAGCGGGCTGAGGGCTGCCCCTGGTGGCCAAGCAAGACCCTTGAAGGAGCCACAGGGGTTTCCAGGTAGAGTTCCCCTCGTACCACTGAGGATAGCGCCACAAGGCAGAGAGCCCCTAGCCCTTCGGACCCCTGGGACCAACCGAGAGCGGCACACATGCTTGGACGTCACTGCCTGGCCCACACGTGTACACCCCAGCTTGCTGTGGCGACAAGGCCCTGGCCTCAAAGCTGTGCCGTGCCGTGCCGGGGCAGGTGCTTGCTAACAGATGCCCAGCTCGGACGTTGGCGCCTTCCCTTTCTGAGACCCAATCTGGTTTCAAACAAATGACAGTCAAACCAGGGGCAGTTGTGGGGAGCTATGGGCACCTCCAGAAAACATCTGGAGCCCATGGCCCCAGCACTTGCATCGGGGCCAGGGCTCAGCTCTTCAGAAGGCCAGGGTGACTTGCTGGCGGTTTCCGAGGGGGAGGCTCTGGCTCTCACCAAGGCAAAGACATTTCAGAGAGAGAAAGTGAAATTCGCTTTTATTAAATAACGTAAAAGGTTTCCTTGGCACCAGTCACGGGGGTCTTTGCCTTTGGCCGCAGGAGCAGAGCTACTGCTAGGGAGTGTGAGCTCGTGGGGGGTGGTCATATGCCACGTGCATTGAGGGCTCAGGCTCCGCCTCGGCACCCCCGGTGGGTTCAGGCTCAGGCAGGCCGGGGCTGCCTCCCTGGGCCCTCCCCGGCTGCACCCTGCACCGAGTCCCTTGACACCGACGGCGGCCGGGCAGTCACCTGGAGGAGCTGCGCTCCTTGCTCACGCAATCGTCCTGGGAGGCGGTGTCCCCGTTGCCCACCATGCCGCACGTCCTCCGCTTCTTCCGGCGGTGCGCCATCCCGGCGCCCTCGGACCCAGACTCACACTGGATGCGGAGAGAGGCAGGAAGTCAGAGGGCCTGACCCCACCTCCTTTGGAAAACAAGGCACACCGGTCAAAACCCACGGCCAGAGTCGGGGCCCACTCGATGACAGCCGTTTGTTTGTTTTGGAGGTGTGGTTCAAGTGCCCGGCTGCTAACTCAAAGGTCAGCAGCTGGACCCTACCTGCCCATCCAGGAAGGGACAGAGAGGCGGTGGCCTGCTTTGGGAAGAGCACCGCCTTGGGAGCCCTTGGGGCATTCTACTTGTTCTGCTCAGTCTCGGGGCTGCTGCAAGCCAAGCTGACCCTAGGCGGTGGCAGTGCTCTGCTGAGGCGGTGCCACGCGGGCAAGGTGGCTGGCTAGTGGAAGGGTCGATCCCCCATTACATGGGGGCACGAGTCACTCTCAAAATAGTCTGCTGTCAAAACGCCAAACTCCCTGCCTTCAAGTCCAGCCCCACTCACGGTGACTCTACAGGACAGGCAGACCTGCCCGTGGGCTTCCCAGGCTGTAACTGCTTACAGGAGCAGAGACTGCGGAGCACCTGGTGGGTTTGAAGTGCTGACCTTGACCTGAGCAGTCTGATTCATAACCCACTCACTACATGCTGCCAGGGTTCCTAGACTGTACAGGCAGTACCCTGAAAACGTGCCAGCCCAGTGCCACGGGCAGACAGCAGTGGGCACGGCGCTGGACGCTCCAGAGATGAGACAGGCCAGAACAAAAGGCGTTTCTGCTGCCCCAAGCAGACCCTTCTCCCATGGCATCTCCCTGGGTTCTGAGCCGTGTGGCCAACACGGATACAGCAAAGTGCTGGCTGTTCAACTGGGGCTGTGTACTAAGCCCAACTCCCCAAGCAACCTGGCACACCCGAGGGAGCCGCCTGATGTCCACACAAGTTGTACCTCCTCTTTCCAGGCCTGCCTTTGAGGAACCCACAGACCCGTCCACCGGTCAGGGGCTGGGCGCCTGGGCCTCACCTCGGAGTCCGAGTCGGACGAGCTGGAGCTGGACGAGCTGGACGAGTCGCTGGAGCTGTCGGAGGCGATGCCTGTCGACTCCTGCAGGTCAACAGAGTCCGCCAGGACTGCCAACTCGGGGTGCTCCTGCTTCAGGATCCTGAGAGGCAAGAAGGCCGCCTCAGCTCCGCGAGCAGCCCAGCACCAGCGCCACACTGCAGGGCACCTGGGACACCACGCTGAGGCCCCTATCACGCGGGACGGCCAGTGCAGCGGTTCACGAGGACAGTGGCCAGGATGCATGACTGGCTGGGAGCAGAAGCCTCTGGGCAGGCTCTCCTGAGAGAGAGGCGGCAAGCGTGCCCCCCTCCCCCCAAGCGCACACACTGGAGCCACTGTGAGGGCACATGGGCCCCCAGGTTGTGAGGTTGCCTTTGTTTCCCAGAACCGCCCCCCTTCAAAGAAACCCTCTCCCTATTGTGCTTAGATTTGAAAACAAAAACCCATACAGAACACCTTTCTTTCCGCAACACATCACTTAACGACAAGAGTCAGGCTACTTGTTTATAGCAGAAAATCAGGTCCCTGAGCAACACCGGGGCCAGACACGGGGCAGCCCCTGCCCCTACTCAAGACACAGTGCAACTGGGCTCAGAGCGCAGACCTCCCCTTCCGGATCCTAAGTGGGCAGGGCCGTTGCCATCAGTGGCCAGACATCTGCTGCGTGGCCAGGCCATTGGAGTGGCCAAGCTACCACCCGAGGTGGCCTACAGGGCAGAGGGAGGGGATCTGGGGAGAGCAGAAGCCACCACCCCTGCTGGCCCTCTCAGCAGGGCAGCTGAGCCCTGGACAGGCCAGAGCCCCTCTCTTACCCCGAGAGCTGGTCCCTCCAGGTCAGGGTTGGGACCCAGTGGCACGGGCCGGCTGGGGCTGGCGCGCAGTGCCGCTGCCCGTGCTGTCTCTGTTCTGTGGATAAACGGAGGAGCTAAGTCTCCAGGGAGGATGCCTTGCTCACAGAGAACTGAGGATAGGAGCTCAAGTGCTTCTGGGACAGGAAAGTAGAACCCTAACCACACCGTTCAGCGTACACAGCACGCTCGGGTACAGGCACGGGCACAGCAAACCGAAGTACACACCCAGAAGAAAACCAGACCTGGTCCCAGCGGCCACCACTTGGTGGCGGGTTTTACACACGTGCTGGGCCTGACCAACACGGAGAAGCAGCAGCCAGACCTGGGGCCCATGCTCTGGGCTAGGCGGGCCCTGCCCACTTGCCCAGGAGGCTGGAGGACCAGCCTGCGCCCGGGATCTCAGGGAGGTGGGGGGGGGTGGGAACCAAGCAACCGAGGGGAAGAACGGTCTCTCACCTATACCACTTCCGGGATAGCTTTGGCCTCCCTCTTACCGTCTTGTGCCATACCACGGGGAAGTTGGTGCTGCTGGCGAAGTTCTGAGTGACGGCAATGGTGGTGTCCAGGTTGAGGACGACATGCCACCAGCCTCCTGAAACCCAACACAGGTGGCAGGTAATCAGGGCTCAGCACCAGACACAGGCGTCACCCCTCCTTCCCCCAGCTGCACACACGGGACTCTGCTGGGGGGGGCGGCGGGGCAGCGGGCAGCTCACAACCATGCCTCCACTCAGGGCACTTGCAGAGGGTCTCGGCCTTCCAAGGGAAGTTCGCTTGTGGCCTGGCCGTGGCCGCCAGTCAAGGACTGGTCCCCGTGTCCCGGCAGAGCCTAAAATACCTTAGCACAGAAGAGGGCTGGCTGAGCCCTGCGACACCCCGTCTTTGCCCAAGACTGCAAAGGCAGCCTAGCTCTGGGAGGTGGGGAGTTGCAGCTTAAACGCCCTCACTTTTCCACATCAAGATGAAGCGTCATTTTGGGTCTGAGAGTGCCTGCCTCCCACGGCCCTGGTGCCGACGGAGGGGCGGCCTGCAGCCTCACCGGGTGGCTGTGCGCTGGAGCTGACTTAGCAGCAGCGGGCCTGTTCAGCTCTGGGGGCACAGCAGTTAAGTCCTCAGATGACCCCGGAAACGCTGGCAGTTCAGATCCTGCGGCTCCAGGGCAGCAAGGCCTGGCCATCTGCTCTGCCCAAGGAAACGCTACAGGGCCATCCTATGTCCCACAGGGTTGCCATGAGCCAGCACTACCTCGAGGCCACAGGGGAGGCCGAAAGGAATCCCTGGGTGAGCCAGATGTTAGTGGGCACTGCTGCCAACCAAAGGGTAGGAGGCTCCGGCCCAACCAGAGGTCCTTCGGGCAAGCTGGCACCACCCCTAGAAGACAACCTTTGGACACTCCGTGGGGTGCAAACCTACAGACAAGACATGGTGGCCAAACCGCTGGATGCGACCCACCCAGCACCGCACTGCATCAAAGGCCTGCTGAGGGGAGTGCCGGAGGCACTGTGGCTTAGGTAGGTAGGCAAGGGCCGGCACGTCAAACCCACTGGCTGGTGAGGGAGGCTGGTGAGGCTGGGTCTCCTGTAAAGACCTGCAGCCTCGGAAACCCTCCGTGGGGTCTCTGTGGCGCCTACGGAGAGGTAGCAGGCTGTGAAAGCTAACAGAACGACAGTCGGCACTCTCTAGGGGTAAAGCTTAGCCCACCCTTTCCACGTCCACAGCCCCCAGGTGCTGGAGTCAGGTTACGGCAGCCCCATAGGCTCCCGCAGGAACAGCTACATGCCAGCGTCCAGCTGGGGGCGCCAGCTCAGACCACAGCAGGGCAGCGGGCAAAGGGGGTCTTCGCATTCCTCTATAGCTGTCTGCTCCAAAAGGACACACGCCCGAAACCTAAGCCCAGGTGGGTCTCCTTCCAGTCCAGGTGTACCTGGGACGAAGACAGTCTCCCCGGGCTTCTGTAAGATCTCCAAGGGCTTGAACTCGGGCGGCCAGGTTGGGAGCTGGGTCCGGGGATGCACGACATTAAACCAGGTGATGGCTTCGTCTTGCTGGTTGCCCCCTTCCTCTCGGGTCACCTTGATGAGCTCCCGGGGCGTGCTGGTCGGGAACAGGCACCAGCGCTTGTGGCCCTGCACCAAGGCGTTCCAGGCGCTGGTGCCCAAGGGGTCAATGTGGATCCCTGTGCCCGATCGGGGGGGTCCCATCACAAACCACCTGCAGCACGGAAACACCACGGGTCATTTCCTCTCCGGCAGCTCTGTCCGTGTCCAACCATCAGCACTCACACCACCACCAGTGGTCCTTGCCCACCCTAAGAGGCTTCAGAAAGCAGCTCAACCACTGACTTTGCACTCTGGACCCTGAGCCGGCTGTCCATCACTTCGTTTTATCCCATTTACTAATCTTCACTAATGTCACCCTGAAGGAAAGGGAGGTTAAGCTGCCTTGTTACAGTCTACTCCTCGGCCTGACTGCCAAGTCTTCAGTGTGTTTCTGTGCAGACCTCAAGAGCTCTCTGAATCATAGGCAGAGGGGGGCAAAGTGTGCTCCCTCCACACTATCCAAGAGAACTGATTCCACTGGGTGTTGGGAAGCCCCCTGCTTCAACAAGGGTGCCACCAGTCCCATGACCAACAGATTCCCTGGGAGGCTTTAAGGAGACATTTTGGTCATGGGTTAGGGGAGGGCACCTTTATCACCAGGGCCCCCATCCTTCGGGCTGGCATCTGACAACTCCCTGAGCAAAGAAGGGTAGCTGCTGGTACGTAGGGTACAAAGGGTGTTGGGCCCCAAGCCCTGTGTTGACAAAGGCCTAACCCAGTGTTTCAGTCAGCCAGTGGCTGCTTCCTGGGCAAGGACCACGATCTTTTCAGCCTCCTTTCAGAGACGAGGCAGACTCTGGCCTGGAGACACCGCACGACCCGTGCTCGGAGGGAACAGTAAGCGATAAAAGGGAAAGTCACAGATGGGTTTCGAGGGGATGACAGTGGGCTTTGGGTGCTTACAGAATGAGTGGGTATCCTCTGGGGATAAAGCTTAGTCGGCTGGGTGACCCCCGGGACACACTTTTGCAGGGGGGGGGTTCAATGAATAAAGGCCCCTGAAACACCAGTGGTTCCACTTTGGTGGTATGATCAAAGCACCCAGAGAGATAAGACCTATCTGTCCATCTATCTATACACATATGTGAAAGCAGATCTACGGAGACAGTAATTGCGTTTATGGCTTATTGGAGGTACCGGAGGGGAGGTGACGGGAAATGAGGAATACCAGCGAGCACAAGAGAAAGTAGAATGTTCTGGAACTGAACATAGTGATGATTATGCAACTCTTTGTAATACGTGGCTGAACTACAGAAGTGTATGACATGTGAATTATAGTATCAATAAAAATCTGCACAGGCAGCACACCACCCTGCCCTGCCCCACCCCCCACCCCCACATACACAGGAGGAGGACCAGGCAGACTGACACCAGTAACTCCCAAAGCGAGCTCGACGTGCAGCGGAACTACTGTTTTGGGAGGGAAAAGGCTAGCTGACAGAATTAACAAAAGCACACACCTAGAGGCTGGGGTACGGCCCGTGAGATTTTAACCCTCACAGCTGCAGGCGCCTCACCTGTACGGGGGCCTGCGCTTCTCCCCCGCGTACTGGAACAGGTCATCGGTGAAAAACTTGGGCACCTTGTAGTCTTCCAGAAGTTTCCTTCTCTTGGGGTGTTCGCCATAGCTGCTGTCAAAGATGTACAGGGGGCTGTCGTCCCTGGTGCTCTCCAGGTACTCGATGTAGTATTTCATCTTCATCTTCACCGAGTAGCCATCGTTATCCTCGCCACACTTGAACTTCTGGTTCCGGTATTTCCTTTTGAGGCGCTCCAGAGTCCACTTCTCCTGGGCAGACCAGCCCTCTTGGGCATTCAGCAGAACCACAGGCTTATAGGGTCTCTCATAGCGCTCCACAAATTCGTCCACCGACAGCTGCAACGCGTCTGCTCTTTCCACGTTGTCCTGCGGGAAGAAGAGGCCCGACCAGTTAAAGGGGCCACCTAGCCAGGGCGCACCTGGGGAGCGGGATTCTGGTTCGGACTCCGCCGGAGATTCGGGCGATGGGCAGGCCCACGTGCGGGGAGCACGTTGCACTCTGCGCCACCCCGCCAGGTTCGGGGAGCTTCTCTAAATGGCCCACCCGCGAGCTCCCTTGGGCCCGGCCTCCCGTGGGGCACCTGGGTGAAGGGCCACCTGGTTAGCGGCGCCCAACGCGTGGGACTGCAGCCGGCCCGGCAGGCGAAGCGAGCGTCTGCGGCCCGGAGGAGGAAGGCCCGGCGCCGGGTGTCCCCGATCGGCGGGGCGGGTGCCTCGCTCCGGACGCGCCGGGCCGCAGGGGAGGGCACGGCCGCCCGATGCTCCCGCCCGGCCCCGCGTGCGCGGCCCGCTCACCGCCACGGCCGCCGGGTTGAGCGAGAAGCTCTCGTAGTAGTTGTGCCGGGTCCAGTCCAGCGCATCCTTCAGTTCCGGCCGCGCACTCCGCTTGGCCTCGCGGATCCGCTTCTTGCTTTTGTGGTTCATCCTGAGGGGTCACCGCCAGCTGGTTCCGCGGCGACCTCGGGCGCAGCTCGCTTCCTGCCACCAGGGCAACCCCACCCGCCCCGCCGCCCGCCGGCCCCCAGCGGAGATAGCGGCCCGCAAATGCCCTTCGCGCTGGGCCGGCGCCTTTAAAGTAGCCTTCCAGAAAATTCACTCCCTAACCACCTCCCCAGCCTCTGGTTGGGCGCGTGGCGCCGTCTTCCCCGCCCGACGAGCCTGCCGCGATTATCCATTGGCCTCCGCGCCTGCAGAACCGCCCTCAGCCGCCCGCGCCCCCGCCATCTTGAGAAGGTCCTGGCGGGCGGGCAGCCGCGCCCGCAGCCGGCGCACATGCGCCACGCCTTCCGCGACGGCTTCCGGTGTCGTCACTTCCTGTTTCGGCCCCCGTTTCCGGGTGGCTCCGGAGTGCCCGCCTTCCTTTTCTCTCTGTGTCTCCGTTGGCTTCCTTGGGTTTGTCCTTCGCGCCCCCCGCGCCCACGTGGGGGTTTTCTTGTCGCCCGGCTGTCGCGAGTAGGCGGGACCCGCGGAGGGCCACGTGGCGCCGGCGTGACGGCCCCGCGCGGGCTCGCAGATTCGCACGCTGGAGGCCTGGCGCCGTCCGCCGCCCCCTGTCGTCTCGGCGGTGGGCAGCGACGCCCCTCCCGGGGAGCCAGGCCTCCGGGGGCATGTGGTCCGCACCCAGCGCTTTCGGTTCTCGGAGGATCGTGGCCCAGGATCCGAGGGGGCCGCGCTGGAGGTCCACGTCCCGCAGGTACTTGGTCCGGATCGAGGCTGCTTCTGCAGAGCGGCCGAGGCTGGGACGGCTCAGAGCAGAGGGGAGTGGGGTTGTTTGCAGGGGTGCATGGGGCAAGATTTTCTGCCGCGTCTTCTGCGTCGGACCACAGAGCAGAAAGGATTGGTTGGAAGCCCTTTGGGACCCTGCCAGAAAAGTGGCGTTCTGGACACCTAAATGTTTTCTTGGGGAGCCCCGGTAGTGTAGTGGTTACACGTTAGCTGTGACCCTCTTGGTTGGCCGTTCAAAACCACCGTCAGCTCCGCGGGAGAAAGACTGGACTTTCTACTCCCGTCACCGTGCAGGGAAAGTTTTGAGACCCACACTGCCTGAATAGTTTCCCGAGCCAGTGCTCACTCTGAGCTCCTGGCTGTCACGGCATTGTCCGTGGTAATCGCATAGGCACTTTCACATTGCAGTCTGATTACCCTTGAGGTAGCTGCTGCTGGCAGGTGACAGAGTCGGTTCCCACCCACACCGACTTTATATGCACAACAGGAGGAAACACTGCCCAGCCCTGAGCCATCCTCACAGGTGTTCCGAGCTGTTAGTCCCATTTTAATGAAGAACCACTTGAGAAGTTAAAAGGCTGAGTGGAATCCATTTCTGAGTCTCCAAAGCCTTCATGTTGAAACATCCTTTCGGTTTACTTCCCAGATTACTTCCAGGGAGAATGGAAGCCCCTTCTGTCTACACTCAGCCACCCAACCCCCTCCTCTTGGCAGATTCCTTTCAGGCTCTTGAAATCCACTGGAATGGATGCCCCAGCAGGACAGGTCTTGTTCACACTATGCCTACCCGTAGAGCTAAGTGCCAGCGTGTTTTAGGCATTTGGTTTTGGTTGAGGGGATCAAAGTTCAGAGTTCTGAACCTCCAGGACAGCATAAGGAAGTCCTTCTAATCTGGGCTTCTGAACTTCACCTTCCTTTCCTAACACCGTCCGCCCCAAGGCCGCACTTTGCTTCAGAAAGGCTTGGCAGTGTTTCCGTTGAGTGATCATGGACTCCCGAGTGCCTCCTTTGTGCCTGGTTCTATGAAGTGCTCTGCACTCAGTCTTCCACTCCTCCTGAGTCTTTAGCCACTGAGGAAATGGAGTTTGTGCAAGAGCACATACCCAGGAAATGACAGGCCTGGAGTGGGAACCCACTGCCAAAGGGTGAGCTGTGTGGTGACCTCCCCAAGCCCCACACTGATGATTCAGCAGCATTGTGCACTGCCCAACTTTAGGATTTGACAGCATTTGGACCTCTCCTGGGAAATCTTCCTAGGTCCCCCATTGTTTTCTACAATCATCCCAAATTAGGCCCAGGCTGAAAGTCCTCCAGTGTCAGAATGTCCAGGTTGATCACCAGGCCTTTCTCCTCAGTAGCCTCTGGGTGGACTTGTGCCACCAGCCTTTCAGCAGCTAAAAGCATTTACCCATTTGAGCCATGTTCATGTCTTTCTTGGATTAAGTAGCACACACTGATTGGGATGGCTACCTGTGGAAACCCCGGCGATACGGTTATACAGTGGGCTAACCGCAAGGACAGCAGTTTGAATCCACCAGCTGCTCCAAGAGAAAGATGTGGCTGGCTGGCTGCTTCTGTAAAGTCTCCGTAACTCACAGGGGTGGTTCTGTTGTTTACAAGGTCGACACGAGAATCGACTTGAAGACTGAGTTTGAATGACAGCCATATCCTACTCCTAACTCTTCCTGAGGCCTTGGATGGCCAATTGAAAGCTTTTAAGGCTCCAGGTACTATGCAACTCAAGTGGAAGGGGTAGCCCAGAAGCACTCAACACATTATTAGGCCGACTGGGATGAGGGGCTGCCGTTTTTTAGAACAGATCGTGTCCGGCACTCGTAAACTTACAGGCAGTATTTATGGCAAACAAAACTTCTCTTCACAGGTTCTGCATCCTGAATATGGAATGTATGTTTGGCCCTGTGCTGTGGTCCTGGCCCAGTACCTGTGGTTTCACAGATCCTCTCTCCCAGGCAAAGCAGTGTTAGAGGTAAAAGCAGTCCCACTCCAAAATCCTAGGTAACATTCAGGTTAGTCCAAGTCTCACGAATGTGCCCTACCTCCTCAATGTGTTTATATAAAGGTAAATGTTATCTCCTAGGCTTTCTCACCCATTCATCTGAGTGCTAAGGACCTTCTGCCCCCAAAGTTATCAAGACAGCTTATTGATAGCTGTACCTTCAGCCTCCTTACCTAGTGGCTTGTTCTTACAAGGCTGACTGGATTAGCATAATCACCCATGAAGACTCAAGCTCTAAGCTCAAAACAGCCATTAATGTAGTCGGTCCTTGGATGCTCAGTGACAACTGGGCTATTTGCAGTCTAGTCATGCTGATCTAACACCCACCGCAAACACAATCCTTGTACATAACGGGGATATAAAGTCCAAGCTTTCTTGTGTTGATGACAAGCCCAACCGGTACTTCCTCCCGTGCCAACTTGCTACAAACCCACCTAGGATTCTGAAATTCTGTATATACCTCTGAAATGCCATACTTAATTTTTAGATTGGAGCCGGGGTGAGCCTGCCAGGAATCTTGGCTGCAAAATGTGGTGCTAAAGTAACACTGTCGGACAGCTCCTTACTCCCGCATTGCTTGGATGTATGTCAGCAGAGCTGCCAAATGAATAACCTGCCACAGATCTCAGTGGTAGGGCTGACATGGGGTCATGCATCTCCTGACCTTCTAGCTCTACCTCCACAAGATATCATTCTTGCATCTGATGTTTTTTTTGAGCCAGAAGGTAAACATTTTGCTCTTCTCAAAGGTTATCTGATGGTAGTTTGAATAGATTTTTAACAGTCCTCTCCCCACAGATTTTGAACCCATTTTAATGACTGTGTACTTTCTGATGGAGAAGAATCCGATGCTCCAGTTCTGGTCCACCTACCAGGTTAGAAGGTGAGCCAGAACATCTTCTCTTAAGCAGTTCTTAGTTTTAAGGGATCTGAAGCAAACCAATAAACTTTTGGAGTATACTTGTTTTAGTGCAGACTGGTCCCTTGAAGCTTTGCTGTACAAGTGGGACATGAAGTGCACCCACATTCCTCTGGAAACCTTTGACGCAGACAGAGGAGAGATCGCAGAATCTGACCTCCCAGGGAGACATACTGTGGAAATGCTGACCATCTCCCTCCGAGGCCAAAGTCCTACAGGAGCCGTCTATGCTGGGACAGTCAAAACACCAACCAGAGTGTAAACACGGCCGTTTCCTAATGGTTGGATCTGTTGTCCTATTTGATTTTACCACCACTCAGATAGTTAAAACATTTGAGCAAAAATTAAAATACCCAATTTGAAAAACCTTTGGAGCCATCCCTCATTGTGTTGGACATGAAATGGAAGGGTGGGTACACAGCACTGACTCCAGGGGATAATGGTTGCTCAACTGGCATTTCCATTTCTGGCCAGTGAATGGGCTTCAAAAGGGAGGTCATGCAAACTGGGATGGGGAAAAAAGAGAGCGAGACACATTCTGAGAAAAGCTAACACCAAGAAAACGTTTTAATTAAACTACAGAAACAATGGTTATAATACAGAATGTTCATACGTGAAAAGATACACCATGTTATAAGTACTTACAAAGTTACAAACCATTTGCTTCCTTAACATTTTTCCACATTTGATACATGAAGATGATTGGATTTGACCATTTTGGGGAGTGGGGCAAGAAGGGAAAAAATGTGCATTTATCATCAGCTAGATGTGCTCACTGTATGCTCCGTTACTTATATGCAAGGCCCGGGTGACTGGAAGTGCAGTTGTCAGGCATTATAATAAACTGGACAGCCATTTGTTTCTGCACGACAAGGCAGCTTTACACAGGAGCCCCCAGGAGAAAACAGGAAACAGCCAAGCACTCTGCACTGCAACACGCCACCTTAACAGCTAACCAGCATTACTCAACTGCTACACAACTGCGCCTAGTGCACAAAAATACATAAGAGAAGAGATTAGAATGGTGTTTGGTAAACAGTCATTCCAAAATATCATGTCTTTTCACCTGAAAAGTCTTTACACAAATTTGGGTTCAGATTACCATTTAGGTCAGGGTAAATAGCATATGCAAATTACACCAACTTTTGTCGGTTTTTTTTTTTTTAATTTTAAGGAATGAAGGCATTGTTGAGTCAAATCTTGACAGCTTTAGGCTATTCAGCACACGTTTCCTTAAACATCAGGAGCCACAAATTAGTTATCAATCTGTTTAATTTCAAACAAAAAAAAGTCAGCACTAGATAACAAATGAAATTTTACCTTAAATATCCAAGCCAATAATGAAATCTGAAGTCGTTCACCTCACTAAATTACAAGAAATTTGAATAACAGCAACACAATGGCACATAAAATGAAGCCTGCCACCTGAGGCCAAGCTCAAAACAAATAAAAAGTTAGACAAATGTTACAAAATAACCTTTTCAATAGCCAGTTGCTTGTTCCAAGAACTCTTCTTCGATGGACTGAGTACGTGTGGTCCTTTCTCCCCAAGTCCTCCATTATGTTGCTTGCTGGTACATCTAGATTTGAAAAGAAATCAGTTCAGCATCTCTTCCTTCCCGAGGGGTGTCACCACAATGCCCGTGGTTTGAAAGCCAGGCAAGAACTTCAGGCATTCATTAAGGCTCTGGTGAAACAAGTACATTAAGGTAAGGTTCCACCCAGCCACTGTCAGCTTTTTACAGCCCAATTAGGGCCATTTTCAATGGCTACCATCAGCATCTACAAGTTGGAGTTGGGTTCGCCAAGGTTTCATTACTTTTTCAAAAGATAAAGGGAGAAAAAGAAAAAAGGTGGGAAAGGGCTGTATTTCAAAACAAAAAACCTCGAAATCAGAAAAATTGGCTTATATTGGATGGCACATCTTGAGTTTGTAAAAGGATCTGCTTGGCAAGTGAGAGGAACTACTGCTTTACAACACCTGAGCTACTCAGGGCCCTTTCCTCGCAAAAAAGAACATTAAAGGGATGTGCAAGTTAAAGACACACTATCCTCTCCCCACCCAGGGCAATACCTGCCGAGCTCCTCTGGGGGCTTTCCAAAAGTGTACCGTGCAGTGCCGTATTGCAATGCCTTTGCCATATCCTCTAGCCTCGCCATGTCCCCGCCGGGGCACTAGTTGGACCGAGCGCTCTCGCTCCGAGGATAGTGCATCTTTAACGTTCAAAGACAAACCTGCTCCAACACACGCCCACAGAAACTGGTCCCTGGAGGATCAGCCAAATCAGTTAAAATCTGCAATACTGGCCAATATTCTTTTAGCAAACAGGAGACCGCAGCTTTAAAGGGGAAAATGCAGACGTTGGGTAAGAACAGCAAGAAAGAGTCATTGTCATTCATAGGTCTCAAAACAGTTCACGACACCGCCATTACCATCGCTGCCTGCCTTCCTCGTCTCTCGCCACCGCTGCCTGCCTGCCCTGCAGACCCCGCCTCCTGTCCCCTCGCCCAGCGCCCCTCCGCCCCCGACGCCTAGGCGCGGTGCGCCGCGTGCCGGCCGCCATTACCATTGTTTTAAGAGGACACGGCTCCTTCCTCTTCCGGGGACTTGGGGGGGCTCTTGGAGCGCGATCTGGACTTGGACTCCCTCTTGGACACGGGCGGCGGGC